TCCCATATGGTCCCCTGAGCACCGCCAGGAGTCATTCCTGAGTGCGGAGCCAGGAGTGACCCCTGTGCATTGCTGGGTGTGACCCAAAAAGCAAAAAAAAGAAAAAAGAGTATGCAGGAGAAATGAAGTTAGAAACTACACGGTAACTCACTGGCGACACAGCCAGGCAGTTTTATCGCCTATTTTGTATGTCTAGTGTTGCAGAAATGTCTTTCAAGCTATTCCACATTCAATAAAATAAGCTAGTATTTTTACATAACCGATACTGTAGAAGAAAAAAAAACTTTGTAAGGGATATACTAAAGTCATCAAAAATATTTTTTTTAATTTTTGTGTTTGGTTTGAGGGGGCCACACTGGCTGTTGTCGGGGATTACTCCTTGCTGTGCACTCATGGATCACACCTGACGGACTCGTGAGACCACTTGGAGTGCAGGGGATTGAATCCAGGTCAGCAAGGCAGGCGCCCTACCCACTACTACTCTGATCCCGAAAGTCATCAGATTTTTAGTACAGAATCAGGGTCGGGAATCAGCACATCCCTCTTTGTCTAGCATTTTAATACTCAAAATAGAAATCTTCAGTGGAAATGGGAAATTGATAATGCTCAGAATTTAAAAACCGATTTTGAGGCAAGAGTTAAATCCAAGTAGTGCCCAATAAAGAGGAAAATAATTTGTAAACAGTTAAGTCTGATTAGACAAACTGAGCACAGGAAAGAGGTTTTCCATGGGTAATAAAGATTGATCACATAAAAGGGGAAAAATAGACAAATTAGATAAATTAATGATCTATCTATGCACTGATCACTGTGACTTTCACAACGGAATAAAACAACAGAAATGGATTTTTTTTTTCCTTTTTGGGTCACACCCAGCAATGCTCAGGGATTACTCGTCACTTTGCACTCAGGAATTACTCCTGGCAGTGCTCAGGGGACCATAGGGGATGCCGGGTATCGAACCCGGGTCAGCCGTGTGCAAGGCAAACGCCCTACCCGCTGTGCTCTCACTCTGGACCCCAGAAATGGATTTTTTAAAAATATTTTCAATAATTTACCTCTTTAAAATGTTTAATAGAACTACTCCTGGTAAATAAGAGATTTGAGTCACATGGAGAATAGTAATTACAGTCGTCATGACACCATGAAATTGTCTGGTTTTTGCTAAGTATCAGTAATGATTTGTTAATTAGCAAATGATAAAAAATCCTAGGTTCATGTCCACAGTGAAAAATGAGCTTATTTCTTGCTTCTCTATTAGGTTAAATCTTTGCATGAATGGCTTTCTGACTTATAGTATTCAAGTTCTAACATTTAGTTCGTCTTTGGGGCTTTATGACGAACAAGAATAGATTTAATTTAAAAATCAGGATGGGGAAGGCTAGGTGAAAATTTAGAGATAAAATAGGCAAGATGACATTTCCTCCTTGAAAGTTGATTTGGTTTCTTCTCAGGAATGCCCTCATATTTTGAGTGCTCTAGAAAAAAAAATGTTTTTCTTGGTAAGCCAGGTAGGAGGCATGTAATTAGGAATTAAAATTAGGAAAGATTTCAAAACTTCACACTAGTAGGGAAATATTTTGCTTCCAAATGCATTAGAAAACAGTAGTTTATTTTACTAGCAAGACAAAAGATACAAATGGCAACAAGTCATCGATATTGTGGTAACATACAATAAAAAGGAAAAAGATGAGTCCTTAGTTTGAAGCATTCTAGATTTTTCTTTTGAAAAGAAACTTTTCATTTTTAGCTTCAGCTGGCAGCTCTTGAAATAAAATCACAAAGGATCAAGATACTGTAAACAACCACTCTAACCCCAAATAGGATTGCATAGACAAGTAGGCGCTCGTGGCATGGCAGAGGCCGTAACAGCAGCAGGAAGGATGGGCCCCAAGAGCTAAGAAACCAGTAGAGTCAAGTAAAGCCCACAGCGAGTTGCAAGTGGAAGAGGACGAGGCCCCAGATGCTGAAGTCTTGGCGAGATAAACGGGAGGGATAGGGCTGTCTGCTACTTTTAGCTTCTCGTTTCAAGGAGAATCCGTCAGTGCTGTGTAGAGCACATGCTCTACAGGTGGACAGCTTGGATCCTGTCCCCAGCTGGAAAACAAAGCAAAATAAGAAAGTTCAAGATCCTCGGGAACTGAGGCTTACGTGGACCACCGGGGGGAGGGGGACCTGCGTCGTGAAACGCAAACAGGTGCGCTGACCACCGCTGCTTCTCTGCCATCTTGAGATGGCGATGATCCCTTCTCTCGTTTCTTCACTTTCAGTCCTCCTCTATAAGATAACCTTAGAGTTCTTTTTGCTCTTGTTTTCTTGGTATGATTATGTCTTGGATGGATTGTAACAACTTACCTCTTCAGGGCATAATTTAAAAAAAATCAGAGAAACTTTGACTTCTGATTCAGGTTTCACATGTTCAGCTTTGGGCCATGGAAACGTGGGGGACGTTGGGACCACCAAACTCCCTCCTCCTGGGACCTGGGAAAATGAAAAAGAATCTCTGATCAATAAGCTGACTTTGGAGAAGGCCATTTCCTTCTCAAGAGAAGAAACATCGTTTGGAGGCAGAACTGGAGAGATTCTCGAAGGACACTAACTGCTTGTTAGATTTTTCTCCTCTTCAGCTAGGATAGTCTGTAACTTCAGAGTTGTTCTCATAAAATAATAAAATTAAAAGCCAAGTAAGACTGGAAATCCAGCTAACATTCACTTGTTTTCTGGAAACCCTCTTTATTTAATGACTTCATTGGTCTTGGGGCTAAATCTAGCACTGCTAAGAGGTCACTTTTGGTGGCGATTGGAGGGTGATGCCTTCCAGAATTCAACCCAGACCCCTTCTACATGCAGAAGCATTGTGCTCAGCCTATTGAGCTATCTCTCTGGCTCTGGAAATGTGTGAAAATTGGTCACCTGCACGTACCATGATACTTATATCATCCTCTTTTATTTATGATACCTCTCTGATAATGGGTACTGGGGGTGGTATCTCTCCATGGTTTTCATATGCTTGGCCGTCCTTACCTCCCATCTCACTGGGAGTTCTTATTGCCTGTTCCAGTAAATAATTTGTGTGTCTTGTGGAAGATTTGGCTTATTAACATGATGGTCTGTAGTCTTCCTGCCACTTACCCCCCTAGAATGAAGGATTGAGCTTCATAACATTGCCAGTATTTTGGGATGGGTAAAATGCCAGCAAAATCAGTCCCATCTTGATTTTCTCTTACTCGTAAACATAGATTCTCAATCAAGAAATCTGCTGAGCAGAATTCCCTGTACTCCTGACCGCCTACATAAGCCTTCTTTAGCAAAGTATTTTTCAATGGGGGACCAAGTCCCCATGGGGCCCCCAGGATATTTCAAAGAGGCTACAGGTGAAAAGCATGTAAATAGGGGCCCATGACATAAGACTAGGGAGAAAACGGAGTCCTCTGTGAGGGGCTGGAACTGGGAGAAGGCAGCACAGAAGGAAACAAGTTCTGAAGAAGTTAAGGACAGAGGCTGAAAGACACTGCCTTTCCCTTCATGTGGAATTAGAGTGACTACTTAGATTTCAGAAATCTATTACCCTAACTGGGTCTTGAATCATCATCATTAGTAACTGAGTTCCAGTAAATTTGGAGTATCATATAGAATTATCTACAGCAGAAGATCTTCAGGTCTGCTGGGCTATTGCTCAGTTTTCAAATGCAGGTAAACTAGCATTTTCCTTCAGTTCTAGCCTCCTCACCCCACACCCACACTCCCAGAGCTCTTTCTCATGGCTCGTGGTTTCCCTGCAGCTGCCTGGGCATCCTCATCTGTAGACCCTTTCTCTCGTCTAGACCCGGCTCAGTGTATCCCTGGCAGTGTTCCCTCCTGCCTACCCTGCATGTAGTCGACTACTGTTAGGCAGTAGCTCACTGCTCTGGCATCCTAGTGTGTAAATATTTGCCAAAGGATGGCGGTATTTTCCCATTCCCCAAAAAGCATTCTGAAAAATGTCCCTGTTTTCTTAGTCATATGTCCAAGCTTTGAATCAGTTAGCCCATTCATTCCTTGCAGTTAACAGACACTGGCCTGGTCTCAGCTAGCAACATAAAGTTAGTGTGTAGTAGTTTCTAGCACAAAATTTTCTAGCTTTAGTACCAAGGATTCCTGGATCTGAAGAAACCATAGATGACATTGTTGCCATTAGAGAACACATAGTCTCTTTAATAGGAAAAGATCGGATATACCTCATACCACATTTTAATTTCTTTTATTCATGCTTGATGTTGAAGGCATGTATAGAATCAACAAAAATAAGAAAGATAAACGTATAGGGGGAAACTTTACTCTCAATGTTTCTGATTTTCAGACCTCATGTTTGTAGGCTTTTGTTTAAAAAACAAAAATCCAGTGATAGTACAGCAGGTACTGTGTTTGCCTTGCATGCGGCCGGCCCTAGTGCAGTCCCTGGCATTCCATATGGTACCCTGAGCACTGCTAGGTGTGGCCAAAAATGATTTGTATCTGCCTCTATAAACGTAACATTTGCAGATCTATCGTTGTCTAGAGCTTCCTTTCTAGTGTTTATTCTGTGATTCAGTCCTCCTTCGTTCACCTCTGCATTATGGCTGAAAAACTACCAGTCTTTAGCCGTAGCGCAGTTTCCTAGTTAGTGCAAAACCAGGTGGCCCAAATACGAGGTTCGAAATTAATCTTAGCTTCATTAACTGTTGACTTTTTTTTCCCTTCTGGTTCGTGAGGCCTGCCTGGCAGTGCTCCAGCATCATTCCTGGTTACTCAGGAGACCGTACGTATCGCTGGGAATCGAAGCACAGACACACACAAAGCAAGCGCTTTACAGGCTGTGCGGTCTCTTAGCCCCCTCGTCAGAATTTCATGGAAGGCCATGAAGCTGTTGGGCGTTGAAGTCCTGCATTGATCAGGAAACATGTCGTGTGCAGTGCAGCAGTTGCTGCCTTCTACACAACTCTTTTGAAAGCCATTCTAATCTGTGTGATTTCTTCCTACAGATCATCAATTTCTACATGAATATGCTGATGGAGCGAAGCAAAGAGAAGGGATTGCCAAGTGTGCATGCATTTAACACCTTTTTTTTCACTAAGTTAAAAACGGCTGGTTATCAAGCAGTGAAACGTTGGACAAAGAAAGTAGATGTCTTTTCTGTTGATATTCTTTTAGTCCCTATTCATTTGGGAGTGCACTGGTGTCTTGCTGTGAGTACCTCTTGACTTTTTGATAAAACTTAAGTCATTATAGTTAGAAAACACACAGAGTAGTGAGCAGTAGTTCTTCTGGACTGTATTACTGAGAGAAAGAGTAGTATTTAGTTAGCTAAAATTTGGATAATCAATGAACCCTCTGTTAAGAGTGGGAGATGCTTTGAAGAAAGCTGTGGAATTTCCTTTTCTAGAAATATTTGAAAGGGTTTTTATAAATCTCAGCCTACTCAAGGCAAAACGAGGAGAAAAACTTCCTGATGCTGCTGCCAGCTCGTATTCTGTGACTATTATTTCCTGCCCAATCATGACTTGCCTTGCATGTTTGGAATTCTAATATTTTTTCTGACTCGGAGAACAAAAATATATCAATGTAATAATAAAAATGATTTCACTCAGAAGTAACTATTTTGAGCCAAATTAAAAAGAATAAAAGCCAGAGACTGGCATACAGCTTGTGAGGCACTTGCCTTGCACACAGCCAAGCTGGGTTGGATTCCTAGTACCCCATGTATTCCCCCAAACTCCATCAAGAATGATCACTGAGTACCACTGAGTGTGTCCCAAAAACTGGGGGTGGGGGAGCACGTGGGGAGGAGCCTAAATCCAAAAGGAGGTTCTCCTGGTAAAGAAACCAGAATATTCTGTCTTTCTGAAACTATGTTGATAGGAACCAGTGTCTAGGGTCTAATAACTAGTGACCGGATCACTAGTCTCCAGCACAGTTTTATGTAGCAAATAATTCCTTCTTGCAGATTAAACTGGTATGATGCAAGTTATCGATCAAATTTATCCTGATGTCATAGGAAATTTGGCAAATAGTTCCAAGTGCTTGGGAAGGATAAAGCTTCTCTGAAAAAAGTTTTCTTGTTATAAATACAGATATTTTTGGTTTCCAGGTTGTGGACTTTAGAAAAAAGAATATTACCTATTATGATTCCATGGGTGGAATAAACAGTGAGGCCTGCAGGATCCTCTTGTAAGTAAGGAATTCAGGAAAAAAGAGCTTGGTGTTGTGTGCATATTATGGGTTCCTAGCTTTTGAACTTGATCCTTTTAATGCCTTCAATGAAATGATAAAGGAAATAATCTATGTTAAGTAAAAATGAATAGTTTACATCTGAGTAAGGTTTAGCAACTATTTAGTATCAAAAAACAGGCCCCCATGGGGAAAGTTACTATCCTGGTGCACTAAGTACAATAATAGACATATGTGTGTGGATATAGGGCCTACTTAGGTATTACCTAATCCTGCCTCCTAAATCTTTTCAGATGAAGAAGTCAAGACCTTGGGCCAGAACAGTACAGGGGTTAAGCCACTTTTGTTATGGCCCACATTGGTTTGCTACCTAGTACGACATTAGTTTGATAGTCAGTACCCTGAACACTGCTAGGAGTGATCCCTGAGCACAGAGCCAGGACTTAGCCCTAAACAGTGCTGAGAATAACCAGCACCCTTTCCCGTCAGCGTCCGCTCCCCCTAAAAAAGATTTCGTGGACTGCAGAGATGACTTTTGATATGCCCAAGTCCTACTAGTGAATGGCCACTTTGTGATCCAGAATGCAAATACCTTTATACTTATCTCTTTTTTTTCCCCCTGTGATAAATTATCAGCTCTTTTTTATTTTAAATTTATGATGGATATTTTAATATTCTACAACCAAATTCACATTTCTTGGAAAGACCAGAGCAGGTGTGGTGTTTGCCTTTTACATAGCTGAACCCGATTCAATTCCTGGCATCCCTCCTGGTCCCTCTAAGCACTGTCAGGTGAAATTCCTGAGCCCAGCGCCAGGAGTAAGCCCTGAGCATTGCTGGTGTGGCCCAAAAATCAAAAGAAAAGAAAAGGAAAACAAGTGTTTGGATTTTTAAGGCAAAAAATGGTATACCTATCACTTTGGTTTTGACCAAACACCCACTGTGTCACTCTGGGGGCGGGGAGGAGGTGGGTTTCAGAATGAAGCAGGTGAGCCGTTTGCACTTTCAAAAGGGTGTTTCATACAAGATATGTGCTTGTTGTTGAGTGGATTTTTTTGTATAAGCGAATTAAGACTGAAGATGGGGCCTAAGAGCTAGTATAGCAGGTAAGGCTCTTGCCTTGCATGTGACTAACCCTGGTCCATCCCCCAGCACTGCACGTGTCCCCCTAAGCACTGCCAGCAGTGACTCCAGAGCACAGAGCCATCAGGAGCCTGAGCACCATTCGGTGTGGCCCAGCCCCCCACCCTGCCCAAAAGACTAAAGATCATAAATAAGTACATTGTAAGATATAAATCACTATTGTTAGAGAACCACTCCGTTTTCTTAAATAACTTTAGGCACCATGATTTACAACACTGTTTATGGTATGGTTTCCTGCATAAAACATTTCAACACCACACCCTACACCTGGAGTGTTTGCTTCCCTCCACCATGGTCCTAGTGGCCCCTGCCCCGTCCTCCCCCACTGGTAAGCTTCCTACTTACCACTTAAGAGAAACATGCTTATTTTTCAATAAACTGAATTCCTAAAGGACCTCATAAACCAAGGGAAAAAACCAGAGATGCTAATTGAAAAGAATCTGCGTATCAGGGTGGAGGGAATTGCTGGTGCTGGGAAATGTACTCTGGGGTAGGGACGGGTGTTGGAACACTGGATGGCCGAAACCTCATCATGAACCCCTTTGTAAGGGTCTCTCTCGCAGCGATTCAATTAAAGAAAAGAAAGACTAGATATCAGAGGCAGAGAAGTCGGTAGACAGCTGTGAGCCGTGGGAGCGTCACAGGAAGCACAATATCGTGAAAGACGCCCTGCCCCACATTTTATACTGTTTTTTCCTCAAACGTGCGATAAAGACTTGTCAAGGATTGCCCACTGCAGTCTCTTGAATGGCTGCCAGTGTTCCTCAACGAGCTCATTTTATTATCTTTTAATTCCTTTAGGCAGTACTTAAAGCAAGAGAGCATCGACAAGAAAAGAAAGGAATTTGACACCAATGGCTGGCAGCTCTTCAGCAAGAAAAGCCAGGTATGTTTCTTTTATGTTTAATTTTTCTTTCCCTCCGAAGCAGTGTTCAGGAGAGCCAGGGGCCCCTCCAGGTGATATTCAATCAACCAGACTTCTGGCATACAAGAGCCAGAAGATACGGTTGCCTGAGCCCTGCCGTGCTGGGAATTGCCCAGAGTATAGCTGTGGTGCTTGGGGGCCTTGAGGTGCACCTGGTGATGTTTGGGGGAGCACTGTTGCCTGAGATCGAACTGAGTCCTACAGTCTGTCTCTCCAGCCGGATATTTCATTTTGCTGTTGTTGTTCTTTTTGGGCCACACCCCTACCCTGCAGTGCTCCGGGCTTACTCCTGGATTACTCTTGGCCGCCTCCTTGGGGGAACCCTATGTGGTGACCGGAAGGCAGTCGCCCTACCCACTTGCTCTGGCCCTATTTCATTTTAATGATACGGAAATCCTGAGATTAGGATATTGGGAGGAGATTTGCTTTCCTTTGTGTATAACTGTTTGGTTCCCCGAGGAAAATAGAGTAAACTCTTTGTGGGAAAACTGTTTTTATGTAGAACTAAGTTTATTAGATGTTAAGTTTGTCACTCCGGTGTTTACCGATTTTTTGACCTCTTGGGTGTCTGGTTTTCTGCCCTTGTGTGCCATGGGAATCTAAGATTAGTCAGTCATCTTTTGTGAGATAAAAAGTATACTACCCTGACTGAACGCCTTTTTCCCTCCCTGGTCCTCTCTTGTTCTAAGTGAGGAACCAGGTTTACCTCTTAAAATCTTTGATTTTTTTTTCTTATTCCAGTAAGAAGGAAACTTGAGAAGATGTCACTCTTTTGGTTTTGTCCCTTTAGGAAATTCCACAGCAGATGAATGGAAGTGACTGCGGGATGTTCGCCTGCAAATATGCTGACTGTATTACCAAAGACCGACCAATCAACTTCACACAGGTAGCTTGAATCTTCAGGAGGGAGCGCTCTGTCTACCCTGTTTCCAGGCTGACTGTATATATTTTTCTCTCACCTTGCCATGTCTAGGGGCTCTGCGTCAGGCCTGTGGGCCGTAATGCTGGCAGTTACCGCTCACGTCACATCACATCTCACAAGAAGCAGCATCGCTCTAGGCTGTTTCACGTTGTGGGGTGCCCGCACGTCACCTGCTGTAGTCAGGGAGTCCTGAGCATAGCAGAGCCTCCTGCTTGCCCCTCTCTTCCAGATACCTTCAGTCTTGTAAGAAACAAAATAGGGACCAGGGCAAGTGTTCTGTAGTTGCCCTTACTGGGCCGGTAGTCAGGTTTTGTCATCGGTGACACCTTGATCTGTGACCAGTATCATTAGTGGTCTTGGTTTGTGTTTAGTTCTTTCTGTTCTCGAGTTTTTTAGAAGCCAAAAATATATAGAGATTAGAGATTATGGATAGTCTGTATCTCCCACCTAATGCTTTAAGTAAAGATATTTGGGGCCAGTAACAACAGCTGCAGTATTGGATGTGGCTCCTGTTTAAAAAATTAGTCGATTGCCTTTCTAGATTTTCTGCCAAAGCCCTTGGGTGAAACTGATTTGCAGTTCCCATAACTCTTCCCCTAAAAAGTGAATTTTTTGATTTTCAGGTTTCAGATGTCATAAAGTCAAAGTTCAGCCTAGAGGATTCAGTTGATGCCATTCCCAAAATGACATTTGGATATAGAGAATCCCTAATAAAACTTAGAATAATGGAAAATAGCAATAGAAAAATGCGTTAGAGAAGAAAAAAATAACATAATCAACATGAGAAATTTTGAAAGAAGAGAAATTCAACTAAGATTAATTGAAAAATCTCAAGAAAGGACTGTATGGGAGAATTGGGTCTGAGTAAAAGAAATGCAAATTAAGGGTGCTTCTCTGTTTCTCTAGCAACATATGCCATACTTCCGGAAGCGGATGGTATGGGAGATCCTCCACAGAAAGCTCTTGTGAAGACTGACTTGGCAGACTCTCACCTTGTCGGGGACCAGCTCTTCGTTGTCGTCAGCCGGAGACCTTGGAAACAGCTGCTCGCAGCCCTCTGTTCTGATGAAGCCCTTGATCCTGGACCAGGCCCTGGCAAGATGCATTCACAAGCACATCTGCCTTTCCTTTTGTATCTCAGATACTATTTTTGCAAAGAAACTTCGGTGCTGTGAAAAGGGTGAGGGGCATCCCTAAGCTGAAGCGAGAGATTGCTTTTCAGTTCTTCAGTTCTGCCATCTTGTTTTCCAAGGGCTCCAGCCTCATTCATTCTTTATCAGAGTATTGGGAGAAGCTGGGAAAGACTCTTGGTTTCATATAAACTCTTGTTGTTAGGCCTTACTAAGAGGTAGGGAAGACCCTGGGCAAAAGGTAGGGAGAAAAAACACCAGCATATACACGCACATGTTAATACACAGAAGATTTACAAGACGTCTAGCTAGGAGAGGGACTGTATTTTGGAAGTAGACTGGACTTTGGGCAGATGCCTAAGTCTCTCCTCTAGGACTTTTTCTGTTTAGGTGCCCCCTGTAAAATCTGTCTGCTTCTCTGCAAGCTTTTTTTTTTTTAATTACCTGTAGCTTTTTCTCATCTGAGGCATGACACATGAGCCCTTGGTATATCCCAGCCTAAGCATTCCTTTCCAAAAAAGCAAAGGAATATGCACATAACACATGACATGGGACAGATGCACCTAGGGGGCGGGTGACACGACTTGTCCTGCCACCTAGTTCTGACCAAGAAGGATGTCAGTCTTCATTCTGAAATTCCAACATTGAAAGAATGCAAGTCTAGTTTGGTCTGTGGCTGAAAGTATGCTTCTGACCACAGGAGAAACACACACACACACACACACACACACACACACACACACACATTTCACAGGGATATACTTGTTTTTAAAAGGCTGAATGTGTTTCACCATTTTATTTAGCCTGCACATTTATTTTCATTTTCCAAATTTAGCTCCAGCACACAGAGCCCAGCCCCTGTATTTAGGGTGTTTGTGGATTTTCTTATGGAATATTTTGTGAGGCCTGGATGAACTTTGGCTTAGGGATACAAGTTACAGAGGGAGGGGGAAGTTCCAACTGGAAAGCGGGTGGAATTCGGACTGATCAGCGTGAGATTTGAAGATCTCTCCCTTTTGTTCCTTCTAGCGTCCTTCCCACCCTCAGAGTTCCTCAGGCTAGATAGTGAAATGATCCAATGCCAGTGTCATTTTGTACCTGAGTTCCGAAACAGGAACATTTTCTACTTTTTTCTGTATTGTAATAGGTAGTTTTGTATAAAATCTTTTCTCCTTCCCTTGTACCCCCGTCCTTTACAGCGTTGTGCTTTAAAAATCCCTGGGCTTATTTGACAATTTTGCTCTGTTTTATACCAAGCTTGTTTAGTACATTTTTCTATGTTTTACCACAGGTTACAATTTGAAAAAGAAAACTATTTTTTTTAAATATTCCATTGTTAATTGAATGTTAATGTTTCCACTCCAGCAACCAGATGTGTCCTACCTTTTTCGTAATTGCCTGCGTGAATGTGGGGAAGACTACTTTTTTCCTTATTTTAATTTCCGTTCAGTCGTGTGTGCGTGCTCTCGCTCTCGCTCTCTCTCTCTCTCTCTCTCTCTCTCTCTCTCTCTCGCTCACTCTCTCTCTCCTCCCTCCCCCTCCCTCTCTTCCTCCCTTCATCTCCCCGCTCTTTCCCTCTTTTCTTCCCTGCCCCCATCTTTGCGCTTTCTCTAGGTAATAAATAGCTTTCTACGTAAGAGTTGCTGGGACCTTTCACATTCTCATTTTAAAATTTGCCATGCAAACTCATTACAGCACTCTTGAACATTGATTCTTTGCATATTTAAGGAACAGCTTGGAAGGTGGCAGCATGATATAGATTTGAACCATGAATCAGAAGACCTGAGTTTTTCAGGCTTTCTCACAATTGTCTAGGGGCACTAGAACAAGATAATTTTCTGTTTATTTTATGTCCATTTACGTGACATCTCTCTTACCTTCCTCACAGACATGTACAGACTAAAACAACAAATATTTATTGCCTTGTATAGCAGAAAATGAAACATGCAGCGGAAGCATTTTGAAAAAATTTGTAAGGAGCGCTTGAGTTTGAACTTGCCGCCTCCATTTCTGACCAGTGCAACTAGAAGTCGCTAGTGATCCTAAGACTGCCCTGTAAGGTAGAAGGAGACCAAATTTGGCACACATTGTGTCCCAGTATGGCTTAGTGGGAAATAATTAGAGACCTACATAGTGGGCCGTTTTCTCTTCCCAGAGAGCTAGCCAGTAAGAACAGGACCAGCATCTGGAGACTTCCTTTACTCTCCGTCATATAAGGGTGAATGAACTTTGATGATCAGGAAGGAAAAGAATTAATTCCTACATTCCATGGGCCAGGGCATATTACCAGTATCTGACTTAATCGAAGGTGAACAAGCCTATCGTTTTTCTTCTGCCTTCCCCTCTCCTCCGTGCCCAGTGCTCATCATCACCTACCTCTGCTAAAAATGCAACACTTGATGGATGAAAGCTCTAGCTGCCAGGATGCCGGACATAGTCCTCAGTAGGAACCACAGCCTCCACAGTCACCCTAGCATCCTGTTTAGAGAAAAGCATTCCTGGCCTTGAGAACATATGGGGTGAGTCAGAGGCTAGTTCCATTCCACTTGTTGTTGCGGACTCACTGTTGATTCAGGGAGTCCTGTTGAAAGTGGAGTCCAGGAGTTCTTTCCTAGTATCCAGCCAAAAGACTTGATAGGAGTAGACCCATTATGTATAAAGGGCTTCGTGTTTCCTGGTGGTGTCAACTTCTCTCTTTTTTAGCTACTGTATTTGGAATCTTCTACCCATTGGCGCTAATAGGACTGTCCCCAAAATTTTAGACAAGTCTTACCAGAAATTTTTAAATGAATGGTACCAGAGTGTTGTTTTTTCACTTGCGCCACGTGAATGGGCCAAGAGAAGGCAGAAGCGTGTGCTTTAACCTTGTGACTTCACTTTACCCAGAGAGAAAAGGTAAGCTTATTGTGGGGCTCTGATGTTGACTCAAATATGGCATTCGCTCTTGGGAAAGTTTTCCCTCTCCAGGAGCAGAGTCATCAAATTTCAGAAGGGACAGATCTCGTCACCAATATCCTTCCTTGTATTTAAGGTCCTTATTTAACCTGTGCTGAACATTAGCATCTGCTGCTAAAGAGCACAAAAATACCCCATTTCCAGCATTGGCAGGAGGGACTGGCATAAAGGTTAAGTTCATTACCCACTAAGATAAGGGGGAGTTTACACACAAATCTTTCTATGGGAGAGAATATACTTTTTTTTTTTTGGCTTTTTGGGTCACACCTGGCAATGAACGGGGGTTACTCCTGGCTCTGTGCTCAGGACTTACTCCTGGCGGTGCTCAGGGGACCATATGGGATGCTGGGAATCGAACCCGGGTTGGCTGCGTGCAAGGCAAATACCCTACCCGCTGTGCTATTGCTCCAGCCCCCGAGAATATAGACTTTCAACTGGAAGATGAAACTTAGATTAGTGCAGCCTGTCAGGGAGAATTCAATCTGTGAGTGGTTGGATTGGACCAGGTTCTAAAAAGTTATTGTCGGTCTAAGATTCTGAAAGTTACTGGGAAGCATAATGTTGCTTGGAATAGAAATATTTTAAGGGAGAGATTCGAAGTTAAGATTTGAAATCAGAGTTTGACACTGATTTGGTTAAGGTGAGTGTCTCATCCTGATCGGACATCATGCTCTATCCTAAATTGAGAAGTAGCCGTCAACTGCTTGACTTCTGGAGCTCGTCCTTGCACCTTGTAGAACTCAAGATTGGGGAAAGTAGAGACGTTCAAGGGGTTCAGAATCTTCAGTCTGCTGGGCATCCCTCCTTCAGTCCACTAATGTTTCACATACACACAGCATCTTCTCATCACCTTTCCTAGATGCCATCTCTGGTCATAATCTCCAAATCTTTTGTCCTGATATCTGCAATCCTGATAATCCGAAAATAATACAATCCCACACATTACTTGTAATCTCTTAAATCGAGAGTAGACTGAGACATGTCAGCATTGGAGACCAGGGAATGGTGCTTTTAAAATAGTCAAACCAGATAGGCAAACTGTTTGTCTCTGACCTGTCAGCAGAACATAAAGAATTTCATCCAATACATATTTAGAGGACCAAAAGATAGAACAGGAATTAAGGGCCTTGCCTTGCACGTGGCCCACCCTGGTTCCCCCCAGCACCACATTTCCCATAATACTGCCAGGACTGATCCCTGACCATACACTGAGGAGGAAGTTCCGAACACGTGTGATCATCCAAAAGCAAAAAGTTGGGGGGAACGATATGGGGCTTAGAGAAGCAGTGATACTTAGGACTGCACCACAGTTCTCCTCTGGCTCCAAACCTGATGCGCCACTCTGTCCTTCACAAAAACCTTTGCAGTATTCCAGCATGCTCTTTTGTGGCCTCAGCCTGCTCCTTGAGGCTAGTCGAAGTGTGTTTTCCATAGACGTATCTATCTATAGTACAGTTCTCTCTCTCTCTGTCTCTCTTTCTCTCGCTCTCTCTCTCTCTCTCTCTCTCTCGTTTGTTTCTAGTGATGATGTACCTCCCTTACTGAGATTCTGGCTCCTTTTCTGTCTGCCTTGTTAGACACAGGTAGTATCTTTTACATACTTAACCTGTGTCATAGAACCAGAGCTAAATTCCTGGAGAACATTTGCCTTTTGAGATACATAGGAAGCCGAGTCCCCTTGCGGGAAGGATGGGGCGAAGAGGTGATTCGGTCCAGGAGATAAAAGCCACCTGTTCTCCTGGATGTTCTCGCTTAATTTGGGAGGCCCCGCAGACACGAGCATTGTATCGAAAAGACTGATAGCGCACAACTGTCTTGGAAGCTGCAAGTGGCCGCTGGAGGGGCAGGAATAGGATCAGCCAGGGATGACATTGCCCTTCTGTAAGACTCTCCCTAGTTGACTTATTTAAAATAAATTCTGTGAATTTTGCTTTCTTGCTTTGATTGGAAACTCCCTGGTGAAAGGACTTGATGCTGTCTGCCTCTTTGACTATTTGTTCTGTCTCTGTCTGTGTCTGTGTCTCCTGATCCAGGCTTTACCAGTGATTGGATCCTCAGTGTGGTCTGGATTCCTGAGTCCACCCCTTCACCAGAGTCTGAATACTGTTCATTCATTCATTTCATTCCACATACCTGAAGTTGGAAGCCTGGAACGCAAATAACATGCAAATCTGTGGCTCCCTGGCACTTTGAAAAACCAGACTTGTCTGTGGAGCCGGCCAAAGAGCCCTCCTGAGCCAAGCACGCTAGCTAGGACTCCAACCCACCCTATAACGGCGCTTGTTGTCTCCCTGTTTCTCATCCATATCCCTTTCTCCTAAAAATCTAACTTGAAAGGGCTGTCTCTGTGAAGCCCGTGCACAAAAGGATGGAAACTGAGAAAGGGCCAACTTCGAAATCCCCCACTTTGGTAAAATGGTCTCATCTCTGGAGAGCCCCTTGTAATCTCCAGGACAGTCTTGAATTCTTTTTCTAGGCATGGTTAAGATTTCTTAGTCATTTGAAAGTGAAGGGAAGCGAGTGAAGAGCCGAGCCAGTGTACTGATGAGTACTGACGGCAGGTTCTCCAGGTGTTCAGGTCTGACCTTGTCTGGGCCGGGTGCTGTTTATTTCTTTACCGACGAAATGGCGTGTCGGATTTCGGAAGGGAGAACGTTGGGAACGACATATACATCCTGTGGAATTTGGTATGTCGGCAAGTGGACATGGCTATCGAAGAGATTTGAGTAGAAGTCATGGATAATCTTCTCCATTGCCGTTCTGGAGGATGTGACGGATCCATCAGGACGTCGGAGGGCAGTCATCTTGGTCTTGTAGTTGGCGAAGGACAGGCGGGCGTTACGAATACTTTTCCCGGCTTCTGCCGCATCTACCAGTACTTCTGCTCTTCTCTCTTTGAGGTCTTCCTTGATCGCATCTCTGCACTGCTTTGCGAGCTCGGACGTTAGCTTGCGGTTGCCTGAGGCATGCGCCAAACCACGCTGGCGAATTAGCTCAAGAGTTTTCGAAGATAGGCGATTTTTTGTGGCTATCTCTCTCTTGGCGTTCCTCGCACATTCATGGAGGTGCTGAACCAGTCAATCGTATTCCTCATCAATGTTGTCAACAATGTCATCTTCCCATGTTGCCGCAATAGTACCAAAGAGTTCCCAGTTGGTGGTCATTCTGGGAGTTCTCTTTTTGAACTTTGCAGCCCTTTCTCCCCGCTCTGTGAAGTAGAATTTTGCACGAAGGAGACGGTGGTCCGATCCCGTTCGGAATTTTGGGACAACAGCGACATCGGTCAGGCAAAACCGTCGATTGAATATGATGTGGTCTGTTTCGTTGTGGAATCGTCCACCGAGAGACTCCCATGTCCAACATTTAGATTCTGCCTTCTGGAACTGTGAGTTACCATGGATAGTCTTGGTCAACATGCTGAACTCGGACAGTCTCTCACCCTGTTCGTTCCATTCTAGGCCATGGGT